ATTGACTTTCATGAATTAGCCCATAAATAATATCTAGCGCCTTATCGTTGTGTCCAACACTTGTTTTCTCAGCTTGGGTCCATTCATTTTGAGGTTTCGTCACTCGAGTTTCATCCTCACTGGTACTGGCTTTGGTTGGATGTTCCCAGCATGTTACAATGATACACCATACTGCTTCACCTTGTGCTTTGAGATGAGTGCGCGTGCGCACCTTCCAATATGCATAGTTGTCACCGACTAGCTGGGGAAGAGCTTTAGTGTGCTCCATTCTGTAACACTCAATAACCCGTGAGATCGAACAATTTAACAAAATCAGAAATAATAATAATAGCCGCTGAAGAATTGAGATCAAGGGGCACGGAGTAGCCAGATCGACACACTAATAACTTAAGCCTGGTGGCTCTGATACCAATTGAAAAAGCCCGTGTATCTTGAAATCAATTTAACACTAAGGATTCTACTTGATTTTATATTACGAGACAATTTCGCTGTTTAATTAAATCAATTTAATCAACGTATAAATAACGAAATTGAAAGCATAAATAAAGTAAAGACACAGTAGAATTGTTACGCAGTTCGGAGCTCCTTCTCCTACGTCTGCGGGGCAACCCACGTCTGCCCAATCCACTAGATGTTCACCACAGAGTATTACAAGAGGTAACTACAAACGGCTCACAGCCTTTACCACTACAACTCTTCTAAAACACCTATTCAAGACTGAACCGTGCATGCCATAACCATCTTTGGTGTATCGCTTCAGCTGTCACAGGTACTGACTTGAAGTACAGAATTAAATCACAAATATAACATAATCAATATTAAAGCAGTAATATAGAAAGCTTGCGTATGTGATCAGAATTTCAGAATTGGCAACTTCCTCTTTTGTTTTCCCTTCCTTATATACTGTACGTAATTTCCATTTCACCAAGCCTTGATTGTAGCTTTCATATGTGGCTTGAATTCTTCTCAACCACACCTTCTTTAACTTGAGATCTTCATACTTGCTCTTTGTCCAACTTATTAAAAATAAATCTCCACCACACATTTTAGCTTGGTCCAAAATACTAATTACAACTCATACTAATTAACATTACATATTAATAAAATAAACTAATAAATTAGCCAATCTAATGTGTACTATTTTGTACACTTACAGTATTGTACATTCACTGGATCGAGCTATTGCTATACAACATTAATTGGTTGCGTATTGAGGTATGAGAGAGAGAAAGAGTGTGTGTGATGGGGGCACAAATTATTTCGCGGACCGCGGTCCATAATGGATTATGGACTGAACTTCTAAACAATGTCGTTTTCTTTAATGAAAAGAAAAGGCACTAGTTTCGTGTCGTTTTGCAAAAAGTAACTCTGTTATTCAGTTTTATTTTGTATACACTACAGTTTCATTCGACAGGATAATTTAGGACCAGAAGTCCACTGCTTCAAAACGTCATTTTGAACACTATTTGGGACCAAAAGTTCCTCAATCGCATCATGCCTTATACTATATTTGCGATAAGTTGGCTAGCAATATTTGGTGATTCTCCTAGAAAGATAAAAATAAAAATGACGTTAACTATGTCCATTAATATCCTTAAAGTATAAAATATGTTGACATATTTTATAAATTAATATATGACATTTGGTAAGCTATTGAGTGTTGGCATTTTGTTTGATCCCCATAATGCCATGCCTTGGACTGACTATGTATTTTTCTTTATTGTGGTATTGATATTTCATAAGAGTATATTTTAAGTATACTACGGTTATTACCTCTAAACCACACAAAGTTTAACGCTTTATAAAATCATATGTGTGACAAAACAAGTGTTTATATCACCTTCATTGTCCTGTATGGGGACATTGCAACACGTGTTGCACAAATAAATAGTAGATATGCTATGAATTAATTTAGACTTTTAATATTTTTGAAGCTTGATGAAAAGAACATCTGCATATGCTTAGTTTAGTAGGTGTTTACTCAGTTTATTGACGGATGTGTTGGTCTATACACTTTTAGTACTCATGATATGTTCTAATGGTAACCTTGGATTTCCATTAAATAATGTTCTTTTTCTATATTGATGCACATGTTATCATCTTGTGATTGCTTTACTGCTTGTAATACTTTTGTTTTATCATGGTTGTGACATGACCACTGATGAGATAGGAATGGGATGAGAAAAATAGCAGTAGCAAGTCAAGGTAAAATATTTGCAGATATTATCGTCGATGTGTTTTGTAACGATTCAATGGACATGAGTTATCATACTTGGTACAATTCAAAACATATATAATTGTACCTGATATGAAAATTCATTTACCCACATGAACTCCAAAAGAGTGGTAAAAATTAAATGTCCGTTCTGGAGACTCGCTCCAGTAACAATCTACCAAATTTATTCACTAGGTCCCTACCTACGAAAAATATATTTATAAAATTAATATGCATAAGTGAGGGAGATTGTTGTCTTCAGGGAGAGCAACAAAATCTAAGTACAAAAGTACAACTGATTTATTGGTTCAAATGACCATAATAAATATTATAACTCACTTTACGGCAAATTATACCGTGCACCTAGAGGTGATCACGATTCAAATTTCGATTCCGTAAATGGTCAAATCGGAACCTTATAGTACGGCTCCGATTCTGATTTATGAACCGACGGTTCTAAACGGATTTAAAAAAAAAAAAAAAAAAAAGAAAAAGTGAGACCTCTTTGGCCTTTGCGCCACTGCCCACTGCCCAATGTGGCAGTGAGGCAGTATGCTTACGGCTTGCCATCATTTTAATTTTTGTTTTTTGTTTTTTTGTTCTGTTTTGTTTTTGTTTTTGTTTTTGTTTTTTTTTGTTTTGTTTTGTTTTATTTTGTTTTGTTTTCCAGTTTGGAATCAGAATTGTCCGGTTCCGAACCGGAACTAGCGGTTCCGGTTCCTTTATTTCACAAACCTTAACCAGAACCTTATTGGTTCCGGTTAGGAACCAGAACCGGAACCGTACGGACGATTTCGGTTCAATTTCAGTTACTACAGTGACGGTTAAGGTTCGGACCTCTAGTTCGAACCGAATCATGGTCATCCCTACGTGCACTAGGGCGTATAATGCATTGTGCGCCCTGGCCCAAAACGACGTCGTTTTGTACTCTTTTCGCGTGTCTGCTGTTAACTCCTTAAAAAAAAATTCATGTTTCAAATGTACAGAATTGTATAGTAGAAAACACAGAATTTTATACCTGAAAACACAGAATTTTTATAACTGAAAATCCCCATGTTTCGAATGTACATAATTATATAATAGAAAACACATAATTTTATACCTGAAAACACAGAATTTTATAACTGAAAATTTCCTTGTTTCAAATGTACAGAATTATATAATAGAAAACACATAATTTTATACCTGAAAACACAGAATTTTATACCTGAAAACACATAATCTTTATTAAAAAGATAAAAATCCCCTGTTTCGAATGTACAGAATTTTATACATGAAAACACAGAATTTTATAACTGAATACACATACATTTTCGTCACGTTAATTCCCCATACAACTTAACCAAACGACGTCGTTTTGGGAAGCGCGGGGCGCACATTGCTATGTGCGCCCTGGTGCACGGTATAACGATTGCCACTTTACACTTGACAAGATGGAAGTGCAGGGAAAATGTTATAAACACTACTCAAGCAAATCCTGAAGATTAAATTATGAAGGTTCACGATTGTACTCTTTTTAACTTTACTAAGTTTTTTCTCCACAATATTTTCTTAGTAATGTTTTTAATGAGGCAACCAGTGCAACATATGACTTCATATATACCATGTACTCTTTTCTTGTCTAAGTTTTTCTCACAAAATTTTTCTATCAAGTTTTTAACGTGGCATGGTTGTAGTTAAATAAAGTCCAAAGGGGAGTATTTATTATGGACATTATTATTAGTTTTGTAACGCTTGTAACGTTTGTAACAGTTATATCATTAATTCATTACTTAATTATGTTGTATATATAATAAGAAGAGAAGGTGACTCACATGGCTTATTTTGTTCTTTATCCTTCCTCTACTACTCTTTATTTACATTTCTTTTTGATACATATGTTTGAGCTAACGGGCTAATCACAATAGAATCCAATTTAAGTATTCAATATCTATTATAACAAATTTTGATTTTAGTCATCGACTTTTGTGCATTGTTACATTTAGTCACATTACATTATTAACTTTCATTTGTTTGGCACAATTAATCATTCTTTTAAAATTTTGTTATTCCACAATTTAATAAATGTGGCTAATATGTAATTTAATCATCCAATTAAAACAGTTTACAAGAGGGGAGAGAAATTACATGTTCGGGTAAGAAGCTTGATTAAATAAAATTACATATTAGTCATCTTTAGTAAATTATGAAATGAGAAAAAGTCAAATAAATGACTAATTGTGACAAACAAATGAAAATCAAGAATATAATGTAACTAAATTAAAATAAAAATAAGATTAAATGTAACAATGTTACAATAGTTGAAGATTAGAAGTAAAATTTGTTCTATCTAATATGGTATGATTTGTATCACTTAAATTAAAAATTTATTGAAATTCATATAACCGTATTAAAGACTCCTAATATATCAATTATCCAAAAATTTGGAATATAGAAAACAAAAAAGAAATATCGGTCTATTATAGTCAATAATAGTCAAACAAAAGCTGAAACAGTAGTCAATTATAATGGTGGTTGGCGGGTAATATACAATTGAAGAAAATAAAAAGAAACAAAAAATTTAGTTAATTATTTTGAATGCTTGAAAAAAAGGTGATATGATAATGATATACATTCTTTCCTTTGTTTACAAATCACAACTTGGCTTCAGAATTGCTTGAGTAATTAATACGAATAAAATAAAATAAAATAAAAAAATAAATAAATGAAATGCACCTGGCTGTTTTCATCATCATTATTACAAGAATAGGAAAGAGATTTGAATTGATTCCACTTTAAGGAAAATGCAATTCCATTTTTCTTCTCTGTATGGAAATGCAATAAATTCAAAAAAAATAAAAAATGATTCACCTACTTTATGATCTGGGTTCTCCTCCTATTACTCTGTCAGTTCTCTCATCAGCGAAAGGTGAGAGCTTTGGTGTATGGGGGAATGAAAATGGAAGAGAATTCTGTGGTTGTTTCTGTTCAAGAAATGCACCATCCATCTCAAACTGAAGTTAATCAGGTGCCTCTCTGTTACTCTGTATCTCTGTGTATATATATATATATAGTTGAATGTGTTTTGAATTCATGTTGGGGTGTTCTTGATTGAATTTTGGTTGCCCATTAAAGATTTGATTTTTATCATGTGAGAATTTAGGGAGTAAGGAAAGCAGATACATACTGCATTCATACATACAGACATGATTGTGTGTGTTTTTGGGAGGGATGGGGTGGGGGGGGGGGGGTGGGTGGTTACATCTGAGGGAAAGGAAAATGAAGCAAATAACTGTGATATAGAAATATAGAATCTCAGTCTCAATGACACTGGCTGTGTGTGCATAGATAGATACATAGATAGACATAACTCAGTGTTCGAAAGGTTGAGTGTGGGTATAGTGACCCAACAAATACCCGGGTTTGAATCTTCAATGGGGGGAGGATCTCAACCTTAGGGCAAAAAGTAAGCAAGTCAGACCCTACTTCAGAGATACACATCCCGCAATTTACCGCTCTCACAATCCCGGGGCAGGGGGTGAGGGCCCTCAGGTTTAGGGTTTAAACCTATAGATACAGCCTACTGGCATGTGTTTGAATTTTTTGCTGGGGAGGTGGAGTGATTGGAGATCGAATTCTTGTTGCCCAAAGATTTGATTTTTAGCCTTTTTTTTTTGTGGATTTTCTTTCTGGGATCAAGGAAATTGATTTTGTGGATAATTGGCTTATGGAATGTGTATGAGGAAGTTAAGCTTTCTCTTCTTTTTGTTCATGAAACTCATAAATCTGACAAAGCCGGATGAACCTGAAAATCCTGCCGGTTTTAGCCTAATTCAACATGTTGGTGCTTCCAGTGCACTGTGATTCTGTAGAAATGGCGCAATCCAAACTGCATTGTTTCCGGCTTAATTAAGATCTGAATAGTTGGGCGTTTGTGGGATTTTTTTTCCCACTATATTTGTTTGATCTCTATGGCTATTTGTTCTAAAAATTAACGCAAGTTATAAGACTGCAAAGAGTTGTGTTCTTACTTCTCTCGACATATTTAGAACCTCCGAGTTTAATAGGCCCTTTGCTTTGTCTACCAATACTTGACATTATATTCATACTTCTCATCTGTGAAATCAGAAAGAAGAGAGAGATGAAGCTACCGTAATCCAGCAGCAGTCAAGAAAGCCCAGTGAAACTGCATTGAAGAACCCTCGAGAGATTTGTGGGGCAACAGATATAATCCCGGAGGGTGAAAAGACAATTCTAATCATCCCAGACACCCCGCTTTCTGATAAGCCTTCATCTTCGAGGTCATCAAAGAAATCATCAATTCATTCTTTGCCAGATACCCTGGAGAAAGGTGTCAGCCAGAAGCCCTTGGAGGTGAACCATTTGGATGATCATTCTGAATTACCTGTAAGCTTATTTCTAATTTCGTCCCGATTGGAAAGAAGTTTCCCATTCTTCATCTTACTTATATCACTATATATGTACTTAGTCCTTTTTCCATTTCAGGTATTTGAAGGCCAGCAGCATATAATACGCTCATTCTCAGTCCCTGCAAATGTTAAAAGTAGAAGCTTAAGGAGGACAGATTCTACTCGAAGTTTGATCCGTGTAATATCCTCGTGTGCTAGGTTGAACACTGATAGTGAGGCATCACCAGATAAACTACAAGAGACAAAAAATGGTATGTTGGATTTTACAGGCTTGTCTATTTACTACTATATTACATCATTTACTACATGTATTCTTTTGAAGACAAGTGCATATCAACACATGTGTTACTTCGTATGTGTTGAAACATGTTGGTCGGAGGCCCTTGAAGGGCCAAGTTCAGCACCAGGTAACTAGGGGATTGTTGGGCGGAGGCCTGAAGGGCCATGTCCAACACTTTGCCTCTCGAAAATGTGGCGGTATAAGGAAATAAAGTTATGCCTTCGCTACCCGCTATAGCTTTTGCGTATTGGTAAGAGTTTGATCCTAAAAAGTGGTATCAGAGCCAGGTCACAATTGTGCAATTAAAGGTTGGTAGGTCCAGGAGGGATTGTTGGGCGGAGGCCAGTGAAGGACCAAGTCCAACACCAGGTGGCTAGGGGATTGTTGGGCAGAGGCCTGAAGGGCCAAGTCCAACACTTTGCCTCTCGAAAATGTGGCGGTATAAGGAAATAAAGTTATGCCTTCGCTAGCAGTTATAGCTTTTGCGTAGTGGTAAGAATTTGATCCTAAAAAGTGGTATCAGAGCCAGGTTACAATTGTGCAGTTAAAGGTTGGTAGGTCCAGGAGGGATTGTTGGGCGAAGGCCCGTGAAGGGCCAAGTCCAACACCAGGTGGCTAGGGGATTGTTAGGAGGAGGCCTGAAGGGCCAAGTCCAACACTCTACCTCTCGAAAATGTGGCAGTATAAGAAAATAAAGTTGCACCTTTGTTACTAGCTATAGATTTTGGCGTAGTGCTAAGCGCTTGATCTAACAAAGCATATCGAAAATGTCATGAACTGTACTATTTCATATTTTACATGATTTTTCATTTCTTTTATTCCCTTTAGTATGGACCGACAATATATTTCCATCTAATCCATGAAGAAGAAGGTACTTGTACTTCAATTCTTTCCCACTTCAGTATTCTCGGTGACTAAAATTTTGTTATGAATATCTGGCGTTACCCGCAGGCACTGATGATACTGGAGAAGATATTCCAGAGGAAGAAGCAATTTGCAGAATTTGTTTCGATGAACTCGGGGAAGGAGGTGAAACATTTAAAATGGAGTGCAGCTGCAAAGGAGCTCTTGCACTTGCTCACAAGAATTGTACATTGAAGTGGTTCAGTATTAAGGGTAACAAGACTTGTGATGTTTGCAAGGTCGAAGTTCGAAATCTCCCCGTGACATTGCTGAGGATACAAAGTACATCAACTAATGTAAGACGCCTAGCAGATGGACCACTGCAACAGCAGGATGTCTATAGCTACAGGCAAGTTTAACCAATCAATTAGCTAGTCTAACCCATATTTTCTCTCTTATTTTTTCAATGTGGGACTCTTAACAATTCTCATTAATAACACTAAATGCTATTTTGAACACTACTCTCCAGTTCCTCTCCACACTCTCCATATTCTCTTGTTCAAAACTTTGTCCCGAGTCCCGACCAAATATATATGTGCACGCTCAAAGTTTTAGAGAGAAAATTTGGATTGGAATAAGCATTAGACATGTGAAATAGTAAACTATAAGTTTAATGCTAGCCTTTTTAATGGATTTTTTTGGGGCTAATGCGGGCGATTTGCTTCTTTGCTAGGGTCTGGAAGGATGTACCTATTCTTTTTTTGATCAGCATGCTCGCATACTTTTGCTTTTTGGAGCAACTTCTGGTACTACTTGTCTACTCTCAATCTGTCTGTTTTTTACGTGATACAAGTATAAAGCGTAGAAAGTGCAGTATGGAATATCATATCATAGCTGTTTAAGCGAAGATGCTGTTTCTCTTTTATAAGAAGGCCTCAATATTTGCTGTTTCTCGTTTTATTTTCGATTGGAGCAGGTGTCTGACATGGGAGCGGCTCGAGCTCTTGTCTTATCTTTACCCTTAGCTTGTGGTTTAGCTCTTCTTTCATCTATGATAGCTTCTACAATGGGTATGAGTTTTCAGTCCATTTCCAGTGCCCTTAGTTATATTATGGCATTGTGGTAATCCATGTTAGTTGAAAAGGGGAATGGAATTGAAGCACTAAAAGCCCTGTCACGTGTCGGAGCCGGTTACTGTTGACGGGCTCCAAACAACACATGGACCGTAGTCTATTTTTATCGGGTGGGGCAGATATTTAGACCTATGACCTTTGGCATGGGATTGACTCTGATACCGAATTGATATGCTCTATCTCAACTAAAAGCATATGCTGATAGTTGGATTGTACATTTATGTTTATATATTATATATATGTTCAACAAATGGAATTGGAATTGTAGTTGTGATGATAGAGGATAGTACTAATTCAGATTTTGATTGCAGTGAGCAAGAGTTACATATGGGCTTATGCTTCATTCCAGTTTGCTATGGTTTTACTATTTGCTCACATATTCTATACAGTGGTGAGTGATAGATAGATTAGTGTTTCCATGTATTGTTAAGAAGTTGCATTGATGGGGTAATCCAGCCAAGTTAATTAAGGATACAAACTTGTAATCACAAGGTTACAAGTAAATCTCAACTTTCTTGGTTTGAGCTGGTCAGATATGGACAACTTAAACTGGTTTATTTTCTTGTGGGTTTACCACCCAGTACACTCTCTAGTGACCGCTGGTTTTCCTCATCACCCAAAAAAAAAAAAAAAAAAAAAAAGTGCGGGGTTTACTTTGTGCACATTCTTGAGCAGTGACTGCGGGTTTTCTTCATCACCCCAAAAAAGTGCGGGGTTTACCCAATGCACACCCTCGAGTAGTGACTGTTGGTTTTCCTCATTACTCTAAGAAAGAAGTGCAGGGTTTACCCAGTGTACACTCTCCAGTAGTGACTGCGGATTTTCCTCATCACCCAGAAAGTGCGGGGTTTAACCAATACACACCCTCGAGTAGTGACTGCCGGTTTTCCTCATCTTTCTAAGAAAGAAGTGCGGGGTTTACCCAGTACACACCATCAAGTAGTGATTGTCGTTTTTCCTCATCACTCTAAGAAAGAAGTGCTGTATTTACTTAGTGCACACTTTCAAGTAGTGACTGCGGGTTTTCCTCTTCATAAAAAAAAAAAAAGTTGCAGTGATTAACATGAGAATAATTTTGAATTTGCAGCTTAACGTTAGTGCAATTCTATCGATTCTGCTATCCTCCTTCACCGGGTTCGGAATTGCATTCAGTACGAATTCAGTTGTGGTTGAGTATTTGAGATGGCGATCCAATAGACGCATGCAATTGCACCAACCTTCCGCTCACAACACCTCCTCTATTGCTTTATACTCATCATGATTATATATATATATATATATATATATATATATATATATACAATTCTTTTTCCTGTAAACTCGATGACTTTTTGAAGCAACAAAAACCATCATTCATTCTACTCTTGCTCTTTATGCTTCATTTTGTTTTTATTGCTTATTGAATCAATACAAATTGAGTGGTGTTTAGGCCTTTTGGAAGTTTACCAAAGTTTAGGAATTCATTACAAAATTGGACTAAACTTTCCCCTAATATTTCCCAATATGTTTGGAAAAAAACTGATTTTTTCTCATGGTGCATCCCTTGCATTACATTCTTTATTTCGGCATTAGAAAAATTCATCATGAGAGTCCTAATCTGGGTACTGGAAAATTTAGGGATAACTAGAAGATCAGCATTGTTAAAGGTCATGAAGAAGATAAGCATTGTTAAAGGCCATAATTTTAGACACTTCAGGCATCACTCCTTTCTTGAACTCTTTCACTCATCTGGTAACTAAATTTTATTTTTAATTAATAATTAAGTCAATTTACCTAAGAAACAAAAGCCACGTTTAAAAAATATTGAAGATAAAATTAAGATATGAAAGCATTTTCCATTTGGAAATCCATTTTTAAAGAAAAACAGAGAATGTTGGAATGTATACACAATGGGCTTAAATAATGTTGAACTTAATTTGGTAGGGTGCACTAGGCCAAAGCAATAGTGCAACGCAATGGCAACACTTGAAAGCCCAGGTAGCAAGCTACCTTAATGGACTTTCCCCCTAAAAAAATTGAGTTAATATCGTGGGGACCATTGACCCACATATCAGATGTTAAACTGATAAGAACAGATACTACACTTGATCTTATCCAAAAGGCCGAGAAAGGTATGCCTTACCACAGCTTTGGCCCAGTCCTTTTATAGCATTTTACATGCATTCGCTCCCTCTGTTTAAACGATGTGGGACACTAAACTGCTATCTTGAGTAGCAATATCATCTTCTCCCTCTCTGTTGTGTTTTAAACTCACAAACTAAACAAAAAATGATGTTATTTGGTGTTTGGAACTTGCAGGCGTTTTGAACCATTGATCACAGCTTCATAACTATGCCTCGTTCGAAGATCAGTGTAGAAATTGTGTCGATGCAGTCAAATCTACCAGGGATAGTCTCCTGGATTTTCTGAACGTGAAAGGGGAATGATATGAGCCTAAATGTTGTGATCTTCCTCAAATCTTGTGTTTTAAGTGGACCTTTAGTCTTGAACTCTAAATATAGCTTTGTCTATATGATAAATTTATAGCACTAATTATAGAATAGCAGTACTTACGACAAATTATATGACTCCTGAATAAAATTGAATGGATTGTTAGGAACATTGTAATTTAAATTTTGATGATACCAAAAGTGTTAGAAATTTTAGTCCCCAATTTTTATTTTAGAATTAGGAATCCGAATAGTAACACAGCAAATGGAGCTTTACCCATCGAAGAGTAACTAAATAATGCAAAAACGAAATAATGCGATTGCGAAGAGAGAAACGTTGCTAACGACAAGTGAAAAACATTATTTTTTTTAATTAGAACGGCATTGTTTTCATTGTGGAACTGTGCCCACCTTGCAAGGTGGGCACGATTCCACAGCATAATTTGCCAAAAATATCATGCATGGCCTATTATTCCACAACGAAAACAAATAGTGGGAAATCTCTATCGCGATATTTTGATTAATAATGAGGTCAATCAATTCATTGAGACAAACCCACAACAATGAACAATTTAAAAGTTCATAAATTCTCCCAAGAATTTAAAATGTGTTAGAAAATTCTCACATTTGAGAAATGTTTGGTTCTTTTTTTCAAAATCTCTCTCTCTCTCTCTCTCTATATATATATATATATATATATATATATATATATATATAATTAAAAGTAAAATCATCCTTCTACCATTTTCCTGCTTAAACTAATTGTATTGGTCAAATTATTTAATTATGGTAGACTATGGAATAATTAATGATAGTAATAAAAATCTTAGAATAATATAGAATAAAAGAATATTCCGTGCAACACACATATAACATTTCGTTTTTAATGTGGCAGAATATAGAAGAATATTTAATTATGGTTATTGACGGTAATAATGTTACCGGAAATATATTGTAAAGTGACGAATAAGAAAGTGACAATAGTTGTATTGCCTTTTGTCTCAGTATAGAAAGTACAGTGTCCCCTGCTCAGCTGAGGGAAGTTCTATTTATGATAGGTCCTAACGGTAACAACATGAAGAGGCATCCTTGGGGAGCTGAGCTAACGGCAAGAATATGAAGAGTCATGAATGAGGCGTTGAGGCTTTAACTCTCTCTCATCAATGGTGGCATCAAAGGTGGCTTCAATGACAATAAATGTGACACCTGTTGGATTCTAACCGTTGGAGTTCTGCCCGTTGGGTTCCCATGTGATGCTGAGTCAAATGCTCATTTGTGATCCGGGTCGGGTGCCAGCCCTATTATCCTGTCACCAGTCCCCCTACTCCTGAGTCAACGGATGTGTTTGAGTTGACTTGGGAGTAAGGCTGAATCTATCTTGATCCTGTGTAGAATCCTGCTTGATTTAGGATATGTGATTTTATTTGATCCTGTGTATGTGATTTTATATTTTTTTTCTTTTTTTTTAATCACATATGATTTTATTTTATTTCTTATGCTAGCCGAGATAGGCTTTGGCCTAGGTTGGCAGAGGTGCGTGCCTCCGGCCGAGGCGTCGCCTCGACTGATCGTGGCCGAGGCGTCGCCTCGACTGATCGTGGCCGAGGCATCGCCTCGACTGATCGTGGCCGAGGCGTCGCCTCGACTGATCGTGGCCGAGGCGTCGCCTCGACTGATCGTGGCCGAGGCGTCGCCTCGACTGATCGTGGCCGAGGCGTCGCCTCGACCGATCGTGGCCGAGGCGTGCGCCTCGACCGATCGTGGCCGAGGCGTCGCCTCGACTGATCGTGGCCGAGGCGTCGCCTCGACCGATCGTGGCCGAGGCGTGCGCCTCGACCGATCGTGGCCGAGGCGTCCGGCTCGACCGATCGTGGCCGAGGCGTGCGGCTCGACCGGTCGTGGCCGAGGCGTGCGGCTCGACCGGTTGTGGCCGAGGCGTCGCCTCGACCGATCGTGGCCGAGGCGTCGCCTCGATCGATCGTGGCCGAGGCGTCGCCTCGATCGATCGTGGCCGAGGCGTGCGCCTCGACCGACCGTGGCCGAGGCGTGCGCCTCGACCGATCGTGGCCGAGGCGTGCGCCTCGACCGATCGTGGCCGAGGCGTCGCCTCGACCATTCGTGGCGGAGGCGTGCGCTTCGGCTGATCGCGGCCGAGGCATAGCCTCGACCGATCGTGGCTGGGGCAGGCTCCGGGCCTTTTTTTTTTTTTTTTTTTTTTTTTTTTTTTTTGGCCGAGACGGACTTCGGCGTTGGCCGAGGCGGGCGCCTCGGCCGAACCGTGGCCGAGGTGTGCGCCTCGGCCAACCATTGGCTGAAGCGCGCCTCGGTCAACTCTTGGCCGAGGCGGGCGCCTCGGCCAACACTTGGCCGAGGCGTGCTCCTCGGCCAACACTTGGCCGAGGCGTGCTCCTCGGCCAACCATTGGTCGAAGCTCGCCTCGGCCAACCATTGGCCGAGGCGGGCTCCTCGGCCGAACTTTGGGGAGGCTTGCCTCGGCCATCCGAGTCGAGTCACGTCTTGGCCAACCTGTGGCCGGGGCGTGCGACTCGTTCCTTTTTTTTTTTTTTTTTTTTTTTTTTGGAAACAACATGGGCGGACCACAAGCACGAGATATTATTCCAAAAGATTTCAGAATGCAAAGCGGGCGGACCGCGATTACCAAACACTAGTCCCAAACGACTACTAGAATGTTAAGGAAAATACTTAATCAAATGTTCCTAGCTCCATACCCGATCGATTATCTTTACAGATGGTGTGGACTTATGGATCATTTCTGCCAATCATTTTGCATGCTTTAACGTAACAACTGCGGGCCG